CAAGATCGTTTGCCGGATTTAAAAATCGACAATGATAAAATCTATGTTCGAACCAAAAATTTTGAGCAAGAAATGATGGAATTTGAGTGGAAACTGTGGATACCTCAGGACATAACATATGTACTGATTGAGAAAGCACACATTTACGGTAGCTCGGTCCACGATGGTATAACGAAAACCTTAAAACGATTAAAAACTTATTTTTATTGGCCAAAAATGTCATCGCAGGTACGACAATTCATACAAAATTGTACAACGTGTAAAGAAACGAAATCGGCAAATCAGCGTATGAACCCTACGATAGGCAACGAAGTTATAACTGAGAGACCTTTCCAGAAGTTGTATATAGATTTTCTGGGAAAGTATCCCAGATCAAAACAAGGCAATTCCTACATCTTTATAGTAGTCGATCATTTTACGAAATTCACATTCCTACACGCGATGAGAGAAGCCACTGCATATAACGTGGTAAAATTTCTGGAAAATCAAGTCTTCCATACATTCGGGGTACCCGAGATCATACACAGCGACAACGGAAAACAGTTCGCCTCAAAAGTTTTCGCGGATATGATAAAAGATTACAAAATCACCCACATCACCACAGCCTATTACTCTCCGCAATCTAACGCATCAGAGCGAGTAAATCAGTCAGTATTAGCCGCCATACGAACGTATGTTGAAAACGATCACCGGGATTGGGATCTTTATTTAGCGGAAATCGAACAAGCATTGAGAACCTCAGTACATTCAGCAACTGGAACCAATCCTTTTTTCGCATTATTTGGTTATAACATGTTCACTAGTGGAACCGATTACAAACTGGCAAAAAAACTCCAATCCCTGACTGATCACCAAATTGATCAAATAAATCGATCAGATAAATTAGAATTAATGCGAGAGAGAATAAAAGAAAACACACACCAAGCTTATATATCTAGTGCGAAAAGGTACAACCAACGAGCACGTATTGTCAAGTTTCTACCGGGACAGGAAGTGTATAGGAGAAATCATACCCTTTCAGACTTCAAAAATAATATCAATGCGAAGTTCTGCAAGAAATTCCTGAAATGTAGGGTAGTAAAACCAGTGGGCAATAATATGTATGAGCTAGAAACGCTCCAAGGAAAACCACTTGGTAATTTCCACGCAAAGGATATAAAAATATAAACAAAAGTATAACAAGCTGTGATAAGATAATTTATGTGCAATACTAGATTAAGCAGAGTTAATCTATGATGCAATAATTTTGTTTATACACGATGTTCTTTTGTTTATATATGTATTCAATAATGTGAGCAAATGTATCGTAAGCTGTAAAAAAATACTTTAGTGCAATATTAGATTATCTGTGTTGCGTTGAGTTTTTATATACGTGCTTATTGTGTCATTTGTGAATGTTTTGCGTAAACATGGAAGCGGAATGAATTTAGTGGAAAATATATATAAGGCAATCCTGGTTTTAGGAAATTATGTCGAAATTATGAAATTTAGTTATCTAGGAATATTAAAATATTTGTTATAATTCACTATTGTAATCCAATTATAGACGATTTAGATTAGCCCGGCTTTTGAGACATAAAATCAGGGCGTGGGAGTTCCCCACGTTGGGACTAAGACATGTCTATTCTAAATGAAACAGGGATTCAATCTACAGGGTTTCAATTATCATCATTTTACCCTCATATTTTTTCTACCATTTTTATCATCAATTGGGAAGGATTCCATAACCGGCGCTAATAGATCAGCAAATACAAATAAAAATGTAATATAATAGACCTCTAAATCAAAGCGTAGACAATTAGATTTGAATGTCCAATGTAACTCACAAAAAAATTTTTTTAATTTTCTCCATCATGTGAAGAAATGGTTGTCCGCAAATATTCAATTATTTTCCGTAATTATTCAAATTATTCATTATTATTCCGTAGAATTTTTTTTAATTAGATGCAACACTTTTCTTTTACCTACTCATTGCACCCTGGGTGATAGCAATCGAAAAAGTATTTACTTTCAATATGAGATGAATTATCACAAAATTTATATTATTTTTTCATCGGCAATTGTTTTGTGATTACGCAGGTAAAATATATGGGGACATGTGATTCATATTCGCTCTACCCCAGGTAGTTCATGTCAATACTAATTTTTTCAGAGAAATAATATATTCCAGAAGTCTCTGTGGAAACGTGAAGATTCTTCTTGCACAAATTCAGAATCCTATTATTATACAAAGTCTAGAAATTGCACGACATAAAAAAATTTTAAGTGTGTGAGGTACAATATTTCTTTAATATTGTGTTGATAATGATTTTTTCCGGAGAATACAAAACAATTTAAATTTTCACTGAGATGGTACACACAATAAACTCATAAAAAAAGTACGACATACCTGAGATGCTAATAATGTCCTCCAAATTACTGTAGACATCAACGTCAAGTTATGTTGTTCAGCCTGTATAATTTCAGCCTCCTTTCACTAGTGTCGAAGAATATTGGTTAAATTCACTTTATTTATACACAAAATTTCACGAATTTGTCGGTTTATAAAGTACCAAGCATGGCCTGAAAAAATAATAATATAATTAATATTGAAATATAAGTGAATAAAGGGTAAGAGCTATTATCAGTTTAAGGAACGTAATATACCTGCGCGTGCATGTGGCTGAACAAAAGCAGAGCGAAACGATCTGCTTGTCGATCGATGTAAACGGAATGGCAACAGCGGCAGCGCTGCCATCCACGCCATGCAGCAAGTTAACACCATACCGACTCTTCATACACGTTTTCTTTTTGTTCTGTTTGCTTTTCAATGTCATTTAAATGACGCCTCAATGAAATGTGTTCTCATGTGTGTGTGCAAACCGCCACCATAAAACCGCATTCCGCTGAACTACCGTTGGTTTGGTTTTTGCGATGAACGAACACAAACACACACACACACATGCAAAAAAACCATGTATTCGCCAAGCATTCATTGACAAATTCAAGCGAGAGTACCTAAAAAAATAGGAAAACATGAAATTAACTATGAGCCTACAATCAAATAAGAATGCTTACCTTCAGGAAAATGCGGTACAATGTCCGAGGGCGAAGGATCGACAGATTTTTTTTTTTGCAGAAATGGGACTTCTGAATACTTGGATATGTGTCTTGCTATCACACTGAAATCACGATCACTTTAGGTAATTCTAACGAACGAAACGATGGCGAAACCAAACGCACATCACCGTTTCTTTTGCAGATGCCTAGAAACGGTGAAGTTTTGTTGCGTGGTGGGCACTATTTAATTTTTAATTGATGTTTTTTTTAGCTAACATCCGCGACGTGCAAACCGCAGCAACCCGTGTTTAAAAAATGAAGCGGAAATGTTCTGTCCCAATGGTAATTAGAATTGCCACCACTGCCAGTGTTGTATTTGGATCGATTATTTGGTAGATAAATTAATCGAAAATACAACCTGCGATATTGTAAGGGCTCGTTAGGTCGGTATCATAAAGAAGGTAAATGTCAGGAAAAATTAAGGAAAAGCCGAAAAGCGGAAAAATGCCGCGTCAGTCCCGTAGGTATAAAAGGGGGAAAAAGGAAAACGCGCCCTGATTATTCAAGTGGTGCGACAGTAAAATAGTGGTCATAAAAGTAAAAAAAAAATTAAAACCTGCCAAATTTCAAAATAAAAATTACTTTTTTTTAAGGCAATAAAAGCCTCGATATTTATTTTATTATTTATGGTGAAGGCGTTAGTAATTGATTTGTTTCGCCAAAATAATTTAAATTTCTCGAGGGTATCAACTGGCCTCCTCGGCGAACAAAAGCGGAGAGGTCAGCCCATCTTTGACGGCCACAGCAACCACCACAACGCAAAATTGAGGCCCCAGCAACCGCCTCCATAACACCAATTCCCTTGATCCATGATATCCGGGTTCTGCTTTATCCTGGTGGACGAGGTCGCGGAAGAGTGATCCTGGAAAAGAACAAAGCAGGTTGTACTAAAGAATGCAAAAAGCCAGGTAACAAAGTTATTTATTAAACTTACCGCTTGTTTGATACAACCACTGGCATAAAATAAAAACCAGAACCAGGAGGGAGACCCTGCAACAGAAAAAGGGAGAAATTCCATTAAATAAAATTTTAAGAAAAAACAAAAGGCAGAAAAATTCATATAAATTAAGAGAAAGAACTAATATAATATTCAAATTTTTAATTAAGATAATATATTTAGGTTAAGTTGTGTTGTCTAAGTTTATTATTTGTGTTTTTTTTTTGTGTCCAGCATAAATGTTCTTGTTTTTGTGAGGGACATTAACTATTCTAAATTTTATAAGTAAATTGGAGTGTAGGGTTACCCCAAATTACTTTGAGTGTTATAATCAAGATTTTTTTTGAGGTTCCGTTGAATATTGTGGACCAGTTTGCGGATCCCTCACCACCTAAGAGAGCTCGTTTAGGCAGGTACTAATTGCATAACTTAGAAAGTCCAAAATTTGGTGACATTTAGTTGACTGAAGTAATGAAGGGTGGTCTGATATATATGAACTCCTCAAACAATGACTAAGAGATCCTGATAGTTAATGTTTCAAATTTCAGCTTGTTTGTTCTATTTTAAGGAAATCTTATATACTAATAAATTGTTCGTAATATGATTGTTTGTGTAATCATGATTGTCTAGTTCATTCATGAGAGAGTGAATTTGGTGTACATTGTACTGAGGGGAGTGGGTGTGGAATACGGGGCCCTGATAAAATTGACAGTTATGTAGGATCTCAGGGTCAAGGTTGGGCGGGCTAGTGTGGGAGTGGCAATATCAAACTCCTTTGTTCCAGGTGTACGTAGTGTTTGTGTTATGTAGAGTTTGTATTTATCCATTAATTGTTTAATTGTTCGTCCCCAAGGCTATTGGTGTATGGGATGGAACCAACCCCTGAACATGGCTCCTGAGCTAGCGGCCACAACACCATAGTGCCGAAGCAGGTGGCACGTAACAATATATATTAATTTTGTAGTGGAAAGAAATGTCTGTAGGCAGAAAAGTTATTTACTATATGCGTCCATTTGTTGAAAATCTCATTGAAGTGTGGTTGGAACCCTTACCATTTCCCACAATTTTCAAAATATTTTACACGTGTGTTATAATATTTTTATTTTTCCTGATGCTGCCAATATTATATCCTATTATTGTAGTCATTTGTTTTTATGGTCTGCTGCAATATTTTGTACAAAGGTAATATCAATGTTTAAATTTCGCCGTTATATATTAATAAATCATTACTGCAATTCATAGTACCTTGCAGTTGGAGTTTCCCCGTGGTCTCAATATAATTGGCTTTGTACAATATATATTTGCTTTAAAAATTTCAAATGAAAGCTATGAAGAAATCTTAAAGTTGTATATGGATAAATATCGTTATGGCATTACCGCTTTGGCTTCATGCGTCGATTACATTCGTTTGGCCATAACAGTATTTTGGGAATAAATCGCGATAACTAAATTGTTACATGAATTGTTTTACATTTTATTTCATCACTATGCATTTTGAATTTCTTTTTTATAAATGGTATTTAATGTAGAAATAGAAATTATAATTATAATACATATATATGTATAAGACGCTTGCTTTGTGTAATAAATTATTTGCATATTGCAAATAAAAGGAAAAAACTTCAATTATAAAGAAAAAAAATAATAATAAAATGTTTGTTTATAACACATATCGAAAACTTGGTAATTTGTTGATTTTAATTAATGGAGATTATTTGATATATTGTATAAAACATTTGTTTTGTTTATCAATTAAAGACTATTTTGCAATAAGACCTAAATTATATTAGAAAAATGTAACACAACATTTTTTTAGAAAAAAATTCTGGTGTGTTGACTTCTGTTGTTCTTTCTCTGTTGCAAATAAAGAAACTTGTGTGTGTGTGTGGAAAGAAAAGAAAGAAATACCATAAAAAAACATTAAAAAATATTTGTAAAAGGTAAATATTATTCCTCAGGAGGTCGTGCAGAAGGATCATCTCGGTCCATAGGTGGTGGCGACGTTAGCACTTCAACATTTTGTGCCGGTCCTTGAGTGAGGTAGCCTGCTGTAGGATTGATACCTAAGGCAAAAAAGAACATATTTGATATTTTAACAATATTAGCTATTAAATAGCAGCGCAACGACATACCCGTTAAATATCCTCTGACATTGGTATCTGTTATAAATAGATCATGTCTTTGATCTTTGAATTCAGCCCATACTGGATGTTTTTGTAGTATTTGATTTACACGATCACCATAATTTAGATTTGTAGTCATGCCCTTGAGTGCAGCTACGATTTGTGCCTTAACAGCCGAGGCATTGTCCACATAATCTAGGCGACTATCTAACAAACCCAATAAATAGGGTATGAGGCCAGCTTCCAAGGATTGACTTATCAAAGAATCCTAGAAAAACATTTAGTTTTTAATACAATTTGCATACATGGTAATCTGTAGCTGCTACTTACATGTTGATGCTTAAATAGCCGACTTAGTGTTTCGCAAGATTTCTCTATGCAATCTCGATTGTGCTCCATGCATTTTTTCAATGGCAATATGCACTCAGTTTGCGATATTGAGCTCACACAAAACTAAAACAAATCGGATTTTAATTGGAGGAGCGTTACTTTGGGCAAATAATTGTTGGGGCCTTACCTCAGACAGCGACAACTGATGTAATACTGACAACGTGTTCTTTGGTTGCACGGACAAAAGATTAAATAACTTTGGAATATGACCCAAAACAGGAATATCATCAGCCAAATTTGGCTGGGAACGTAAAAGTTCGACTAAAGCAGTCGTTGAGAGATCCAGTACATCCTTCTGTAAATATTGGAAAAATTAATATGTTACATATTCTTCTCAAGTTCAGTTTTACCTCTGAAGAACTTTTGCTTATTTGATCGACTACAAAATCTAAGAGATCAGATAGGAATTGTTTGGGTTTCCGCAATGTCCAGGCTGGATTTGCCACGAAGAGACGTAAATATACACCAGCCACCACAATTTCATTGGAAATAATATCTTTGAGAATTTCAGGATCTTTCCACGCGTGTTTTGCATTCAGTTTCTGAGCTCTATAGAAACTTTCACACATATCATTGACGGCATTGCCTACATTGTCTCTAGTCTTATCGTTCCATATCAATTCAGGATGCTCGTGTATTGATTCAAATAATTGCACCGAGGTTTGTGGCGATTCAATCATGGCATCCACAAATAATGCTGGCAAAAATTTAGTTACAGTTATGCGAACCTAAAATGGAATAATAATTATGAATCTATGCATAAATATCAGTCCATTAAGATTTGATTACCTTTGGTCCACTTAATCTGTCAGCTGTCATTTTGGCCAAGATTTCGGCACACATTTCACGTATCAAGGGATTTCGTGAATTACAGAACATATCCAATAAATAAATGACAGCTCCTTTTTGTTGAGCCTCTTTGATCATTTCTTGGACGTTCATTAGACCGGACAAAGTCTCCAAGACTTTGACTTGGCTGGCTCTTAAATCAGGATCCTTGAGGGCAACCAAAAAGTTACCCAATACTTCACAGGCTGCAATTTCCGTAATACATTCTTTGTTTCTCGACACTAAGGCAACCACTTCCAGGGCCACTGTTTTGACAGTGGTATTCTAAAATACAAAAAAGACTCTATATGCTGTAAATGTATTCGAGAGAGAGCACCCATACTTACATCACTAAACAGATTGTTGGCTAAAAATCCAAATATCATTTCAAAGTTCCCTATGCACTGAATTTCCACATCATGATTGGCCTTGATAACAGCTATCAATGCTTTGAGCACCATTATAATATGCTGTTCTACACTTGTGTCCTTGGCGAAATCATATTTATATTGACTTTGAATCCGTTGCTGTTCCAACAATGCCTCTGTCTCCAGTTTCTTACGTGACTTGGAACGATTGTAGGCATTAAGCACCTCATCGAATGTGCTTCCAGTTTTTTGTTGATGTTGCAATTTCAATTGCGGATGATTTGGTGCCAGTGTTGGTTTTAAAATACCATCCCCGCCAGCACCTTCTGATGACATGGTTTCGCCACCGCTATAGGGTATTGTTTGCGAGGAATTTTTCATACACATCATATAGTGATAGGCTTGCTTAAGGTATTCCAACAAATCCCAAGCAAATTGTTTGGGATTTTGTATCGGGAATGTGGGCATATCATTATAGATACGTATAAAAACACCACCAATCTGTAATTCATCTCTGAAAGCAAAGGAGAACCACTATTAACCTTTAACCGTTCACAACTTGCTTCACATCTCTTACTTGTGTGCATCGAATTCAAACTGTGCCACCAATTCATGTATTTCTGTTATGTCCTCGTAGGTTTCCTTCACTGAGGCCGATCGTTGTTGTTCAAGGAAATCCAATAATTGAGCTCTCGTACCATTGTCCCATATTATATAGGGATTTCGAGTGTTCGATGTAAGTATTTTTAAAATCTGAAAATAACCATTTTCAAATAAAAATAATAATATTTTTTGTGGGACACCCTCTCTCTCTCCTCGCTTACCTCACTATCTTTTTCTTTTGTTAGTTTATTGGCTATGTACTTGGTTAGGAGGCGTTCCAGAACTTGTTTAACGACGGCATTTTGAGCATCAGATGTTACTGTGTATTTTTGGCTCAACAGATCTAATGTTTTTGTCGTGTTGCGTTCTGGTGAAGTAGCTTCAGACTTATCACTTGTTGAGTCTTGTTTGGGCACAGTTTTTGGCGTCGATGCAGATCCATTATTACTACTGCCGGCAGCATTGCCAACGACGCCAACCTCTTGCCCCGTTGTTATGGCAAGCTGTTTATTTTGTAAGGGATTTTGTGCATTTTGGGTATAGGTTGTTGGTTTAACTCTGGGCGGTTGGGTTATTGGTTTGTTCGTAATGGACCCCGTACTGGTCGTGGGGGAATTATTTCCAGATGAACTTACAGATTTGCTATCCGGTTTGTTACGCAAGTCCAGACCATAGCCGGCCAGTGCTATACAAGCCAAAACGGACATCTTGGCCAATGTATTTGCCTGTTGTTGCTGGTTGGTTTTATCGCTGGCCTCAACACCACTCTCATCCAATGTGTAGTCGTATTCAAAGCAGAATAACAGCAAAGACCAAAGCACTCCATTACATGCTAAATTGCACTGCAACTCATAGTTATTGGCTGCCAAGCTGGTAACTAAACTCACGGAGAGGGTGTGCTTAAAATACACAACACGACAGACATCGGACATTAGTCGAGGCAGAGTAATAATCTTTTGTTTACACTTTTCAAAGTTACAGGCCACCTCAAAGCAACGTGTAACATTCGAAATCACTTGGTAGTGTAGCGACTCAGGTTTGGAATCCGCACCCATAATGGAAACACAACGATCGTAGGCCTCCAGCAAGGCTTCTATGCCTTCCTCCCGTCTTAACTCCTCGGCATTCAATGCCGAACAATGCACCGTGTGATAGCAAAGTTCCGAGGCAGCAGTGAGCAGCTGGGTTTCTTTGGAGAATAGTTCGTCGTCCTTTGTTTCCAGGCGTATAGTTTTAATGAGTTGGGGATAGCCGGCATATTTATATGGACGCAAAACTAAGGGTAGAACAAAACGAATTAAATATTTTCTATTCTCTATATATAGCAAAAAACATCGAACTTACCATCGGCGTATCTTTCGAATAATATACTCTGCGTTCTCAGGATCAATACAATATTGTTGGGATCTGGCCCTCCGGAGCTCCATACATTTCTTGAACACAGAAACTCATATGCTTGATTAACCTTCTCAAACACCTCACGCCCATTGGGATTCTTGTCGGGATGGTAAATTTGAGCCAAACGATAATAACTTTTCCGGATCATCGACTCATCCGGCTTGGGGTGTTTATTCAAATCTATGCCCAAGTCGTTGTACGCCTGTTGGACGGTCATTTGTGGCGGTTTCTTTTCCACTTCTTTGCGCCAGGCATCCAATGTGTGTTTCAACAACTGTACCGGATCCGATATCGGCCAATTGGGAAACTTTTGTGTATCACACAAATGCCGTAGATAATAGATGTGGCAGAAAAGCTCGTTCTCCAGTTGGGGATAGCTTATGGCTGGTATGGCAAGATATGGGTATCTGGCCATGGTGTGACCTCTAAGGCGGGGCGTAAAATCAGCAATGTGAGCCGCAATTTTTTCTATCAATAGCCTTCTCATTTCCGAACTCCAAATGACTTCGGGTGTATCAAATTCTCCCAAAAATATTTCGGCAAATTTCTCAGCACTGTAATTTTCCAAAAAGCAAACCATTGCCTCTGGCAGCAATTGACCCAATATGCTGCGATGCATTATACCCGATTGGGAGGTTTCCTCACTGCGAAAGCCTTGTTTCATGTGGGTCATTTTAAGAAACTTGGTTATGGGTAAAATGTTACTACCGCTGTACATTAACATGAAATAGAAAACACCGGTCAGATAGACCTTTGGCATTTCCGGATTATCCTGCATTATTTGACAGAGAAGTGTGGCCACGCGCTCCAATAGACCGGGATCGTGGGTTAAACATACCTGCACTATGTGCGGTAGGCAAATGAATTCAGAAAGTTTACGCGAAAGCTTTGGACCAGGAATCAAGACTGCTTGGCCATTTTGGGTTCTCGAGGGGAAAAAGCTGGTACATTTGATGAGTATATCTAATATCATGGACGACAATTCCGTTTCATTGTACAAAGGTTGACCTTTGGCAATAAGGCACCATTTTAGCTGGGGTATTTGTTGCAGGGAACGCCAACCATCCATGCCGATTGCCCAGCAACGGGTTTTTGGTGTGATAATACCCTTAGACCACAATTCCTTTAGCTCCGAATAGGTAATGGGACCCTGACGCTCGGGCTTCTGTCCCTCTTTTTCTATATTGTAATACCAATCTTTTTCTTCGTATTGTTGCATATTGGGCCCAGCCTCAATAACATTGGTTTTTGTGTTCGGTTGGGCACGGCCCTGATGTAAGTGAGCCAAAGTGATTAGATCAACTAGGCACTGAACATGATCCACCAATGGGCGACAGTTGGCCTTTTCCATCACCAGACAGGATATTAAATGTATAAGGGCATCGCGCAATGAGGGTGAGTAACACTGTAAACGAATAAGATTAAATTAACATTTAAAAAAACAATGGAATTCGGAATTTCTTACACGATCAGACAGCTGTAATATATATGACATGTCACTGAATTGTCCGATTTCTTTGTGATAACGCTTATAGACCTTGGCCAAAGCTTGCAGGGAAGTGACTGTCAGTTGATCATCATTAACACGTTGTCGACACAAGACACGGCGATATAGAGCATTAAACAATTCCACTCTTAAAAGGAAAAAAATATGATTTAAAAAGCTTTTAGTATTTTCTTTGAGCTCATTTCTTACGGGTCTTTAACCAAATTCTGTGGCCAATCATCCTTTTCCAAGATCAAACGTATATAATAGTCCCCAATTTGTATTTCATCAGCCAAACACTAAAACAATGATTTGAAATAAAACCAATAGTTCACGATGACAAAAATGTCCTTCTTACTTGGTATGTCACTTCAAACTCCTGATAATTCCATGCTACTATTGTATTGCCAGCCAAATCACGGTCATTTATAAATTGGCGTAATTCGTTTTCCAAACAAATACGCAATTCTTCCCTTGTCTACGATGAAACATATACTATATTAAACAAACATTCAGAAATATATTCTCTGCCTTTACCTTATGATTCCATATTAAATTAGGCAAGCTATGATCCTTGGAAAAATTGTAAAAGAAATAGGGAAGATTTACCACAGACTCGGAGGTCTTTTTGCGCTGACGGCGATTACGCAAAACAACGGGACGATTTTTCAAGGCTTGGGCAGCACTATCCTGCTGTTCTATTAGACTCATGCCCCAATGTTTGATACCCTGTGTAAATCCATTAAAAAAAATCAAATATTAGATGAATGCATTAAACTATTTTTACACACCTGTAAATGCTTCTCAATGACATTCTTACGAGTTTTATTGGAATGTTGTATGGCGAATTTTAAATTATCACGAAAGTTTAATTTGTCCTCCTCGACATCATTTTCGGGTACACTTTCTTCCGATTCCAAAAACATTAACAAGCCAGCAGGCTATATAGACAAAAAAATACGATAAAGTTATGTCTTCCATTAAAATATAGAAAGTTGTACTCACAAATATCCGTTTAAATAGTTCTAATGCTTCTGCGTTATCTGTTATCCATAAGCCTATTAAATGTCTAGATAATTGACGATGTGTAACCAGTGTGGGATCATTGGAGGGTGTGTAAAGGGCCACTAATAAATGCCGACACAAAGCCGCCTCGTCTAAGGCTAAAGATTGCATTTGCTGGGCAACTTGTAGCTCTCCTTCTTCTATAATCGCTCTCAGAACCAAACCAGCTCCCTTGACTATAGCCAAAGAAGGATGTTGGAACAATTTGTATAGATAGCGACCTCTTTCGGCCACCAACTCCAAGAGAATATCGAACTGTTTGCCATCTGTAGTTTCACTATAAGGCACACATAATGCAAATGTCAAAAAGTCCAACATGGCCGACAACACCAAAGCACCACTGCCATGGCTGACATGTGTCGTCCACATATTGAGGAGGGTTTCCAAAAATGATTTCGAGGATAATATTGAGGATTTGTTGAGTTGTTCTTGCTTTAAATCATGCTCAGAATTAACTGAGTGCATCAGTGAATTGATCATATCAATGGCTGAATATGTCACGGCCAAATCCTTACGCCTTAGGGCAGCCACAATTTTCGTGCCAATTATTTCACGGAAACCGGGTAAATTTGTAAATGCAGCATAGCCCACTTTACTGGCAAGCAGGCGAGTTAGAGCATGAAATATGGCTTCAAGTTCTAGGTTTGTTAACTGGGCTGTTGGATTGTCGACTTCCTTTTGGGCCAAAGCCTGAAGGGCACTAAGTATTAGTTTTTCTTTGTTCTCTGCAAATAAACTCTAGAAAAAAAACATTTGAAATGAAACACATGAAACAGTATTCCAACTGGTACTACTACTACTTACATCTTGTGTCACACTATAATTTAAACCACTATGTGGAACATTTGCATTGAAACGTTCTAACACTTCGTAACGTTTGGCAGGATTTTGGAAGTTATTCATTACCAAACGCAAGAGGTTAGCCTCAGTCTCTTCATCGACACAGCTGTTGAGCGGCACATAGCGTTTGCCTCTGGGGGTATTGACAATTTGTATATGTACATCTTGATTGCCGCTCGAACGTACTGCGTCCAATAAAGTGGCCAACAAAGAATCACGATCGTTTGTGGTATACGAACGAACAATGCCATTTTTATATTCAATACAAAACTTTTGCAAGTTATCTTTGTCCCGAACCAAGGCAAATACTTCACACAGAGGTCGTAAAGTACAAACACTATACGTCTGGGGATCACGTTCTAGTATGGTTGTTTCCGTAAGGCATAGTATACGCTTTACAGGATCTGGATGGCGTGGAGTTATTTTTTGTACAGTAAACTCAGTCATAGAAGTTTGGAATTGATCACCACTGCAAACAAGATGAACGTAATTTAAATAGCAACTCTAGGTTAATTTATATGTCTTATAATCTACCTGTATTTTCCAAATCTTTGTCTTTCGAATTGCTCCAGAGTTATTTGCGATTTCAGTATTTTGATGTCTATGCCAAGAAATTGTGAACATTTGTGGGCAATGTTCTGTACGATTTCATGATGATTCAGGGCCTTGAACAAATGTAAACGACTGAAGCCACCATAGGCCATAACAATCCCACCTTCATAGTCCGAAATGCCTGCTTAAAACGTGCGCAGTAAAGGGTAACACAAGATGAAATATTTGTATGTGAAATATATGTGTGTGATAGTAGAAGCGGTATGCAAACAATAACTTGTGAAAAAAATTTTGAATGAATTTTCCAATGGGAGCCAAATTGTAAACTAAAACTTATTGTTAGAAGCAGTAAATTAACTAAAAAGGGTTAAAATAAATTAATCCTTTCTAAAGTGGGACAACACAACTAGTATTCTCTACCACCGAGTACACAAACCATGGAAAGTATGATACCTATTATGCCTTCAATGTCTTTGTACATGTAACTGGCAAGTATTTCATTCGTTGTTGGGTCCAACTGATCCAATGAGCATGGCGTCACTTCCAAAACTGTGGGCAAACTAATACCAGACCAGTGGTATTTGTAAGCTGAAAAACGCTGAATAAGAAAAGGGGAAACGTTAAGAAGTAGTAATAATAATTTTTATATAAAAAAAGATTTTGCAGCCTGTTATAAATAAAAATTTTAATTGAAATTATTATTTTTTCAGTGGAATAAAGTTCCCTTATTCGTAAATGTTATAAAAATCTTATTTTAAAACAACCATCAATATATAGTAAACTTTTTAGAATCCAATAAGACAAATGGAATCAGATAATTTAGATAAGATATGCTTTTTAGCAATCAATTGATTTTCTGAGTCACCGTAAAATGTATTAAAAGTTAGGGCAACGTAACTATGGCATTCCATATATACAAGCCCACTAATTTGCATATTTTCTTACAGCAAAATCATTTTTATGAAATACAATAATTTGTTTTCTTTACATACATGAGCATTTTTGGGTTTATCGGCAAATTCTTTGTAGTATTTCAAAATGGATGTCAAAATGTCATTGCGGTATTCAGATGATAGTTTAATTGAATCAAGTTTCTTGTCTTTCTTGACCGTCAAGATAAATTCATTGGGTATCTACAACAACAAGAGGAATATCTGTTAATTACAATTGAATCCATTCAACAAGTTAACTCACATTCGATGCTTTAGATGGTGCCGCCGATACAATGTCTGAGTAAGTCCAACGATTTGTAAGATCCAGCTTGTCTGGATTGTATGTGGAAATACCCAAATTTCCAATAGACAAAATGCGTCTATATTTTCCCTTCCAAGAGTGCTTGGTTACCAGGAAACACTCCAGATCTATGCTCTCTTTGGGAGGCACCATTTTCTCCTTTATGTATATTCAGTTCAGCAACCTTAATTTGTTTGTATTTTTCAGCCAGTAATTTTTGTGTTTTCAATATCAATAGCATGTATTAATCTGCAAAATTAAGACAGAAAAAAAAACAGAAAATTGTGATAACGAAAAAAAAAACAACAATGGAGACCCCCATCCAATTTGACTCATCATTACAGGCAGTAACACAACAGCATCAACTTATCACGCCAACATAATAACGAAAGTAGAGGATATGGGAGGAGGATTAGACAACAATTACCAGCAAAACTCCACACTTCTATTCTCTACTCAAGTCTTAAGCGATCATTAAATAACCAAACAAAATGCTGGTTAGATCAATGGAGTTGCAGTAGTATATGCGACAATAATGATTAGAAAAATTAGGAAAAAAGGGGAGTAAACGTCATATGCACTGATTTTCTCGGTGTCTTGTTACACTTTTCTTTCTCGCATAGCAAGAGTTGCATTACACAAATTTACAAGAATTCTACATTTATTTGTTCAACGCACATGTTTGTGTAAAAAAATTCATGATTTATTTGGTTTTTATTTGTTTAAAAGTGTTTATTTTCGCTTCAAATTTCATCGGTCGGGAATATTTGCAAAAACGAAAAACACAGCTCACACACACACAGTCTAATTACTAAACGTCATATTTTATTAACGGCACTGCTAAATGAAAACTTTGAACGTAAAGACCAACGTAGGTCCGGCACGTCGTACGTTCAAACTAAGTAAACAGCTGATTTTCAAAGTCATGTGTAAAGTTGCCGTATTTCGTGTATTTTGTATTTTTAAAGATTATTTAGTATTTATTTTTTGGTGAACTCATTAACTTTATGACATTTGTTGTCAAGGTTCGACCCATGGTAAATTATACATATTAACATACGATATCCAATTTTTTCATGACATTTAACTTTCGAAATTAAAATGTTCTCCGTCGATATGTACGCACAACTTGTGTTCTGTGGGGACATTATAATTGGTCTGTTCCAGAACCGCAATAATGTAAAAGTTCTTACAGCGTTAGCCGATTTTCCCTTTATTATATCGAAAAATATTGCAAAATTAGTAGATACTTGCAGGATCCGGAACAGAGCGAATGTTGTTTATAGTTTGAAATTCATTTACTATACAAAACTGGGCGAAAACTATTTAGATCGAAGAAAAAAGGTTTACCCATGACTCAAAAAGTAAGGTTGGTCAACTTCAAAGAAACTAGAAAAAATCAACTCTGTTGGCTTTGCTTACTTTTTATTTTTTTGGGATATTCCACAAGATTGAATGTAAAATAGTACGATAATACAGTTATATTCCAAAATTGTACAACATCTTGCCTATTAACGTCGAAAGTATGCATTTATGTTGCAACCAAATTTGATATAATTTCGAATTATTTCATTTTTTATTCAAAACAATGCACACACATACACAAAATGTGTATATGTTTTGACAGCATATGGGCACCAAAAGAAAAAAACTATTTAGGGGGTAGCTTTGTTCTACCTTCTGTAATTGTACCATGTCCATGTAAGGTCCTTCCTCTTTTTTAAGAATATGTTTAGGTTAATGATATATCCTCCTTTGGTTAACGAGGTTGGGATGTCAGAAAGATGGTATGATGCAAGAAAAATAGCGGATCTTTTGACACAACCGTTAAGTCAAACTGGTCACCTTTGGTGATTCAAGTTTCGGCCAGAGGCTGCCAACCCAGTATGTACATGTTTGACTGCTACAATAACAACAACCTTTGGTGAACATTGAAGTCTGACAATGCAGTTTTAGCTATTAACGAGTGTTTAAGTTTTTTTTCCTTGGTCTATATATCTTTTTTAATGGATTAATTCCTGAAAGTTTTTTTTGGAAAAGGTCCATCTCTGGAAATCAGCCGTTTTCTTAGTGAAATTTAGACTCATAGAGCCCTGTACACAGGCCGACAGGTTTCAATCTTTAGATCCCTGTTTACAATCATTGTTTTGATTTCGACCTTTATCGTCAATTCTTGCTTTGATTTGGTCTTCGTTTCTCCTTCCGACGGCGGCAATTTCGCATTACAAGCTTTGTGTTCATATAGCGTCCAAAAGAAAATAACCAGATCCTGCGCATATTAGCTGCTCCTCCATATACTTGGAAGTTGCTCCTGCTGCTTGTATTTAATAGCAATCAAAATGCAAAAATATGAAAAACTGGAAAAAATTGGCGAAGGCACCTATGGAACGGTCTTTAAGGGTCGTAACCGTGAAACAATGGAGATAGTGGCCCTTAAACGAGTACGGTTGGATGAGGATGATGAAGGTGTACCATCTTCGGCTCTGAGAGAAATTTGTTTGTTAAAAGTAAGTTATCCTTCATACCCACAAGGGACATTCGTGTCATGATTATGATTTCATTCGGGTTTCTTTTATTTAATTAAGGAACTGAAACATAAAAATATCGTGCGTCTTTACGATGTCCTACATTCCGAAAAGAAGTTAACATTGGTATTTGAGCATTGCGACCAGGATTTGAAGAAATATTTTGATAGCCTTAATGGAGAAATTGATATGCAAGTGTGCCGCAGTTTTATGTTACAGCTACTGAGGGGCCTAGCGTTTTGCCACAGCCGCAATGTTCTACATCGAGACTTGAAACCTCAGAACCTTTTGATCAATAAAAATGGTGAATTGAAATTGGCAGACTTTGGTAAGATTTTTTGCTGGTTATAATTTTTTTTATTTTTAACATTTGTTTTTTGTTTTAAGGCCTGGCTAGAGCTTTTGGAATTCCTGTTAAATGTTATTCGGCCGAAGTTGTTACATTGTGGTATAGGCCGCCAGATGTGCTATTTGGGGCTAAATTATATACAACCAGTATTGATATGTGGTCGGCAGGATGTATTTTTGCAGAGTTAGCTGATGCCGGACGACCATTATTTCCCGGTTCAGATGTCTTGGATCAATTAATGAAAATATTCCGTGTTTTGGGCACCCCAACTGAAGAGACATGGCCTGGGGTGACTCATTTGTCTGATTATGTGGCACTACCACGTAAGTTGAATTTGTCGGAAATCAAGTTACTATTATTAACCAACCAATTTCATTTAGATTTCCCTGCAATAACCTCTTGGAGCCAAATCGTACCACGTCTAAATTCCAAAGGACGTGATTTATTGCAAAAGCTATTAGTATGTCGTCCAAATCAACGAATTAGTGCCGAACAGGCAATGTTGCATCCATATTTCACCGAAAGTTCCAATCATTAGAGTACTGTGCTGATATTCGACTCCCCTTCCCTTGCTGGATATTGGTTGACCCATAAATCTAGTATTTAAGCAAAATCTCCCGGTACCAAAACTTGTTCAATTTATTGCTTTTGTATTAATTTTTTTGTATAACCTTTTTTGTTTCATTTGTATACTATCAAAATTCTATTAAGTTATTGTATTTAAGATATAAAAGATTTGATATTAGCATGATCTGAGCGAAGGTCAAGAAAGAATTGCATACAACGTTTATGATAATAAAGAGCAAAGTAGCAAAATAATTAATACACGAAACATGTATAAATAAATTATATACAAATTTAAAGACGCCACTGTTTGAATTTGGTTTTAGTATTAATTTAAGTTATTGATAAACGGAGGATGACAGAATATTGCTATTTTTGTTGGAAATATAAAATAGCAGACGAAATAGACCCTCAATAAATTTTTATGAACTCTACAGAACCACTTTCTGATTTCATTTTTTATGCCCATGTATTCTTGTAATAAAGGAACTTGTCACTAGTCTCGATTAATCAAAGTAATATTTGGAAATTTTCTTTTTCATAAAAATGTATTTAAAAGCGCGATTTTTTTAAAGTACGACACTGGTGGTTTGTTCGTTGTCTGCCACATTCTTGCAGGTTCTAAAATAGAGCAAATTAATTTTCTCTCATAGGCTGTAGTCTCCATTACCATGGTACAATAAAAAGGTAAGGTAGAGCTATCAGCTGATTACAAATTTTTTCTAAGTGTGCCCGACTAATGCTGATAAAGAATATATATACTTTGTGGGGTCTAAAATGCATATTTCGAGCTGTTACAAACGGAATGACAAACTTAATATACCCTCCATACCATGGTGGAGGGTATGAAAAGAAACGCGAAAAAAGTGAATGTAGGAGATGGATTTTTTACAGAAACAAAAAATCGGACACACTCAGCGAAAATTGTTATCAGCTTATACTTTTATACGGTAAATGGATAAAGCTATTTAATAAAACAATTTGATCGAAAATTTGTTTATTGCCTCTATGCCATATTTAGATTGTCACTTCCATGGACCAAGTTTTAAATACATTACGAATAACTGCTTTTGTTCTACTTAGTAAATTTGACTGAAAAAGTAAACGAACAGAGTTATTTTTCTATGTCTTTAACACAACTTTACCATTTGTTACAACTCTGTGTGGTTAATAGACAAATTTGGCGTTTTTTTACATTTAACAACGTTGACACTACTTTGCCATTAGAACCTCAAGAATCTGTTTGAAAGGAAGGTAAACATTGCATTGAATTCAGATCCTGCGCATAAAGGACCAATGGCCAAATATCATCAAGCCGGCCAAAATATTTAGTATATATTCATACTTTTTCGACTGTCAGTGTACTGCCAAAGCCAAATTGGAACATTTGATATTAACTTTCAATCAATTTCGTTGATCAAATTCATCATTCGAATATCCAAAATCAATTACGCACAAAGTGTTCTACATACATAGTCTAAATTTAGTTTATATTCTGATATCGTTTTTTGTGTGTTTCTGTTTGTGAATTGTAGCACTTTGGAGAGCGTTTATAAATGGCTTGGGGTTTTGTTACTTGCGGTCCCAACGAGGCACTTGTGGTTTCAGGTAATTTTGAGAATATGTTAATGTTGTTAAGGCTATAGCATCTTCATGGAATTGGAACGTATTGGGGCCGGTTGTATATAATATATGGAGCCTGTTTTGGTGAAGAAAAAAGTGGTTTTACATCAAAAAATCTTTAGGTGATATCAGCAATTTGACGTCATACATCAATTTATCGATATTTGTTAAATTCTAATGGAGATGGTATTGGCATTTCGATTAACGTTGAATGCCATCGATTATTTACCGTTATTTTTTAATTTAAATGTCCGTTTTTTACTATAGGATGTTGTTATATGAAACCTCTTTTAGTGCCTGGAGGCCGTGCCTTTGTGTGGCCCACAATCCAACAAGTTCAAAGGTAGGCATTTAATACGACATACACAAGTATTTGTTTTATCCTTTGTGTCTCTTCTGTTTTAGAATATCCTTGAACACAATGACATTACAAGTTGAAAGTCCCTGTGTCTACACTAGCCAGGGAGTACCAATATCCGTTACTGGCATTGCCCAAGTTAAAATTCAGGGACAAAATGAGGACATGCTTTTGACAGCATGTGAACAATTTTTGGGTAAACCAGAATCGGAGATACGCCACATTGCTTTGGTCACACTGGAGGGACATCAGCGTGCCATCATGGGTTCTATGACCGTTGAAGAGATCTACAAGGATCGCAAAAAGTTTAGCAAACAAGTCTTTGAAGTGGCCTCATCCGATTTGGCCAATATGGGAATTTCAGTCGTTTCCTATACAATAAAAGATATTCGCGATGAAGAGGTAAATAGAAATATAACTGCATTATTGAATTATTATTTTGGAATGAATTTTTGTTTTCTTTCTTTTTTTGTTTATAAAAACACAATTTTAATCTATAAATAACCAGGGAGCATCCAAGGTAGGCGCAAGAAAGAGTACAATGTAATTTATGTTGCACATTGTTTGTTGCTTTAGTTGTTGTAAAATTGTTTATATTTTCATGGGGTCAGTGTAAAGAAGACATCAGTTTGTTAAATTGTTTATTGTAAATATTTTACACACTCTATGATCTAAATTGTAACATTCTCAACAAACTGGTGTTCTACAAATTCAATGTGTATTAAAAATGTTTACATTTTTTTCTTGTGCATTATCCTTAGGGCTACTTGAAATCACTGGGTATGGCCCGTACGGCCGAAGTTAAACGTGATGCTCGCATTGGTGAAGCTGAGGCTCGTTGCGATGCCCAAATCAAAGAAGCCATTGCCGAAGAACAACGTATGGCTTCCCGTTTCCTTAATGACACCGAAATTGCCAAGGCACAACGTGATTTTGAAATTAAAAAAGCCGCCTATGATGTTGAAGTACAAACGAAAAAAGCTGAAGCCGAAATGGCCTATGAACTGCAAGCGGCTAAGACTAAGCAACGCATCAAAGAAGAACAAATGCAAGTTAAGGTAATTGAGCGTACGCAAGAGATTGCCGTACAGCAGCAGGAAATTCAAAGACGCGAAAAAGAACTGGAGGCCACAATACGTCGTCCAGCTGAGGCTGAGAAATATCGTTTGGAGAAAATAGCCGAGGCCAATAAAATGCGTATTGTCATGGAAGCTGAGGCAGAAGCTGAATCGGTAAGAATTTTTGTTATTCTATTTTAGGAGTTATTCATTTAATAATTAGGAATTGTGTGGATATTTTAAGATAGTATTCCGGGGACTTTTTATGTTAAGATTTTGTAAATATAGTATAGGGTTATGACCAGTTTCTAGAAGACCGGATTAGGTTTAGGTATAGAGACGCAAGTTTTGCAGCAAACCAGAAGTAGTAGCAGCTTTGACAGACCAGGGTGGTATTTTTGGTTCATTAATGCTACAACAACAAATGCCGCAGAAGAATGAGAGCAGATCTGGATGTGCGAGAGTTGACAGAAGTGCGCAGAACGCCCGCCCAGCATGTGGTACAGGCCTACATGACATGCTACACCTCTTCAATTGCCCAACCAAGCTTACTCACCTAACTCCCTTGTTGCTATTGATCCAACCAATACAGGTCGTTTCCTTTTTAAAATAGGAGTTAGAAGCAGATCACGATGAGAAAAGGTATCAGAACGAACACAGCAGTACGACCTGCTACAACAACAATCGTTTCTGTTTCTTAACTGTCTTTACATTGTTTTTATGGTCAATTCTATCAGATGACACCTTCTATACAACAACAACAACATTTGCAGCTGAAGAGCGAGAGCAGTCGCGACAAACCCGAGTAGTTTCGGCACAACTGAGATCTGGATGGGCTAGAGTTGACGCGACAACTATATTTGCCTGGGAACCTTTCTACCAGCATATATTTGACATTATTTTTCGTCTTCCCTGCTAGAAATGTTCGAATTTCATTTGTTTTTCGACCAGACTGATTAAGATAGTGACAATTTGCTCATACCTTCAGGAATTTGATGAAATTAAATTTTTAAAAAGCGTCATTTATAGAATCCTTTCTCTTACAACTGAAACTTTTAACAAAAATTTAAATAATTTTATAAATTTTCTTTTAATTGCAGATTAAAATACGTGGTGAAGCTGAAGCTTTTGCCATTGCCGTAAAAGCCAAGGCTGAGGCAGAACAAATGAGCCAAAAGGCGGAGGCCTGGCGTGAATATCGTGAAGCAGCCATGGTTGAAATGTTGTTGGACACATTACCTAAGGTATGTTTCCAATTAATTACCAACAAATAAGGTTTAACTCAATTGTCATCTCTTACTTTTTAGGTGGCCGCTGAAGTTGCTGCTCCACTCTCGCAGGCCAAGAAAATCACAATGGTGTCATCGGGCCAGGGTGAAATTGGTGCTGCCAAACTTACTGGCGAAGTTTTGCAAATTGTCAATAAAGTACCAGAATTGGTTAAGAATATAACCGGTGTTGATATTGCTCGGGTACGTCCCAATCCTGCATTTATTTAAAACAAACAACCACAGCAACACGAAGAAATGAAAAGATATTCTTATGTGCCAGTAAAAAATTATTGCAAAGGCAATTTAGTTAACAAACATAAGACTTTAAAACCGGCAACTACTTACAATCAATTACATTTATTCTCCCCAACAAACTTTATACTCTTTCACCAATCTCCCTCCTTCTCTCTCTTCTTATGATATATATTTAATCTCATATAGAACTAAATTTCGAATTCGTTTTCATTTTTGTTTTCTTATTTTTATTTTCAGTCTGTGCATGCCGCTTAAAACAAAACTTTGATTAGAAACAGTCAGTCAGTCAATCAAAACGTATTGGAAAATAAATGAACTTAACGAAAACAACCAAATTATTAAACCTAATGAATGATTTATATTGTATGCATTTACAAAACTTTATACACTCTTGTAATCACCTTTTGTAACACGTGAATTTATGATTGAGGGCATTAGCATTTGTAAAAAGAAAAATAATCTGAATCTCATTGTATTTTTTGTTAAACAATTGTGTTAAATTTTTCCTCCCTTAAAACTTTTTGCAATTCAATCATAGCACAGTCATCATGTGTTCAATTATTGCACAAATAGTTTTCATTTTTTTTGTTAATTTATATATTTGTTTTGTTTTTTTTATAAATACTTTTTGCTAATATAAAATTTTCTCTGTTTTGGTGAAACTTCATATTTTTGAAGAAAATTTACATGTACGAAAAACAACAAAACACACACATAAATATTTGAAGATAAACCATAAGATTATACAATTGTATTTTGTACTTTTTCGTGTACTAACCAGAAAAAAACATAAGGCAAAAATGATTGTATTTAATTGTAACTTTCATGTCGACAAGAAAAAAAAAATATATACTCTTTTTTTGTATAAAGAAATGCCGTGCTGAAGCTTGTTTTATTCTATTTTTTGTGGGGTGCAATATATATTTGAACAAGTAAAATAGTATCAGTCGGTTTTGCCGACAGATGAGTTATGATTATTCAGTTGAGTTATGATTGTTCAAACTGTTGACCCTTTATGGGGGAGGTTCCGAAGTAGTTGGTATATTCGTATCTGACCTAAGACTTATATAAGTATGACAACTATATATATATATAGTATAGGACTATATGGATTACTTCCTATACTATGTGTAAATTCTTGGAAAATGTTAAAATATTTTCCATTTTCATACTTCATCTAATATAGATAAAGATAAGAGGGAAATCAAAAAAAATATATTCAATTTTATGCGAAATTATAAATTTTCATAAAATACATATTCATATCAGATTTATCGTTAAGATAAAAATTTAGATATTGCAAACTGCAAAGAATCGCCGACTTGTTTCGCAAGTTATTATGGATGGGGTACCAGAAGGGGTTGGCAGATGTACAGGGTGATGTCATTTCTAAGCCATTCTTTCGACAGATGTTAAAAATGTTCTTGAAGGGACAAGCGTACAAAAGCATTTTGGTGAGAATTTTCCAAAAAAAAGTTATTCGTAATGGAAATCAAGCGTGATAGTGGAATTTTTTTATATCTGGCTGGAAAATCACAAGTAGCTCTCGTTAGAGCACTACAGCATTAAAAATGTAAATAAATCTTTTGTGTCTCGTACCATCGCTCGTTACCGAGATACTGGTAGCGTAGCCCGACGTCAAAGAAGTGGACGGAAGAAAACAGCAACATCAGCAGAAACGGTTCGAAAAGAGAAGCGACTTGATCGAAACCCGCGTTGCAGTGGCCGAAAAATGGCTCGTGAGCTGAACATATCGCAATATTCCATTCGGCAAATATTGAAAAATGAGTTCGAGGTAAAGCCATTGAAATTCCAAAAAGTGCAAGAACTTACACCGCAACAGAAAGAAAATAGACTCAAAAGAGCTAAAGAGTTGCTTCGCTTGGCCAAAATTGGTGAACTGACGAATTTGGTGTTCTCCGATGAGAAAACATTCGTTGTCCAGCAGTTTGTTAACAAACAAAATGATCGCGTTTACTTGCCAAAGAGGTCAGCTGAAAATGTGCACCTTCGGTTGGCCACCAGAACTCAAGCGCCGGCCATGGCGATGGTGTGGGCCGCCATAACAGTCGATGGTCGCTCTCCGCTCGTATTAACCGACGGCGCCATCATAATAAATGACATATATTATCGCGAAAATATTCAGGAGGTTGCATTAAAGCCTTGGGCACGCAAACATTTTGGCCAACAGGACTTAGCACCATCGCACTACTCAGAACGCGCTACCCATGACCCTACAAAATGAGGTATTCGCTTCATTTCCAGCGCACGATGGCCACCAAAATCTCCGGATACCAATCCGTTGGACTATTGTGTCTGGAGTTTTTTGGTAAACAAGGTTAGCACTAAAAAAATACCAAAGTGTCGACCACCTCAAGCAAGCGCTTCTCCGGGAATGGGCCAAATTACCGCAGATCCTCATTGGGGAAGCGTGTAACAAACAAATCCAATGACAAACAAATCCAAACTTAGTCTAAAATTTTATGCTATTTCCGACATTTGTAGCTTTCATTCAATAAAAAAAAAAAAAAAAAAAAAAAATATATATATATATATATATATATATATATATATATATATATATATATATATATATATATATATATGAAGTATGGTGTTTGTCTTTGTTGCAGTTTTTTTTTATCTCACCCTGTACATACCATTAATAATATTTTGTCAAGGTTTTTTGTTGTCAAAAATAACAACAAATTCGTCATGCAACTGAAACCAGCGCCCATTAAAACCCCCAGTCTACGATTTTTTTTCAAACCATGTTAAAAAAGAACGCCATACAAAAGTTCCAATACTCAAACAAACGTTGGAACACAAGTATTTGAAATTACAACAGCTACTGCAATAAGTTAAATAAATAAGTGCTCACTATTATCAAGTTAACAAGTTCATGTTTATGTCTTTCTGGGAGGCGGCATTTGTTGGTTGTGAAGTAGTAGGGAGAGAAAAACAAAACAGAAATGAAAACTAGTCATACTAGGTGTTGGCAATTTTGTAAAATTTATTTATTTAAGTGTTATTTATATATGCACAGTTCGTGGTGTCTATACTATATAAAAAATAGACTACAATTTGTTTAACGTGTATAAAAAAGAATTTAACATGATACGAGTTAAGGATATGACAATATAAAATACATAACGTTTAGCTAAACAAAAAGAACTTTATATACTATACATAATATGTTTTTTTTTTTCTTACGATTTATATACAAAATTTCTTAAGACAAGAAACAAAATTGGAAATATGCAGAGAGTTAAACTTTAAACTTCGTTTGTCTAGAACTAGTATATGCGAAGCAGTAATCCCTCACAGACTACATCGTCATTTATAATGGGTTTCCATTGGAATGGGGGAGAAGTTGTGGAAGAATTATTTGTCATGTGTTACACTTTGCCCAACATATCATGGCCATAGGGCTTCTTACGATAGCCCGTCTTTCGCACGGCAAACAATTTGAATGCCACAACCAGCATAACAATACAAAAGCCGTACAGCAGCATGCCCATACCCATGTCCATGTCGGAAAAGACATTGCCAATCATACGTTTCTGGCGCAATTTATCCAGTGTAGGAGGTAGAAGTTCATGATCATCGACACCATAACGACTCACAAATTCGGGATTGTGTATATTTTTTAGAAATTGTAAAACATGTTCTTTGTTCCAGTCATGTGCCGCCACGGATGTGGAGGATGCAGCTGCTGCTGCTTGCGATGTTGATGATTTGTGACACTGTGGACAGCTCGATGCCGATGGAAATTGTATTTTAGGGAATTTTGGATCCTCAGTATCATCGCCAGCCAAACGTTGATTTACTTCATTGTGAGCAGCCCATAGCCAGAGGACGGCATCATCCTTCGTTGGATTATTGAAAATGTGACGTCGTTTTGCCATTTCCTGAAAAGTTTCAAAAGTGTGGTGCAATTAAAATTCGGGTTTTTCTTGTTAGATGTTGACTTATAGCTATGAGAATTTAATTTTCCTTCGAAATTTGACCTAACATCTTCCTTTCCATACCATCATTTTGGTACCTCCTCCACAAAATATAAACATATAAAGGATCTTCCGAATTTGCTCCAACTTTGCAAATCCTAATATTTGCATCAGTGCTAGGTCAGGTGCGATAATGGACAGTGCTAGGTCAGGTCCACTCCATCAAGCACAAAGAGTCAAAATTTTTAATGATTATAACTCTTATCAAATGTGATGTAAGAGTCCGATTGTCTCCAAATTCCACACATCACAATATTTTAATTAACCCAAGGTCTATTATAAAGATGGTATGGAGCGGATCATTTCTTCTGGTACCTCCCCCACAATGGGTTAAAGTTTTGAATAACCAAAACGATTATAAAATCTGAAATAAACATCTGGTTCTTTTCATATTTCACATATCCCATTATTTCTACTAACATAAGATCTGCTGGGAAGATGGAATATATCGGTCCACTCCTTCTGGTACCTCTCCCACAAAGGGTCAAAATTTTGAATATTCATGAAGCTCATGAAAGGCGAAATTGACATCCGATTCCATTCAGACACAAGATCTGTTAAAAAGATGGTAGAGATCGGAACATTTCTTCTAGTACCTCCCCCACAAAGGGTCAAAGTTTTGAATAACAAAAAAAAAAAACGATCATAAAATCTGAAATAAGAATCCGGTTCTCTATTTATTTCACACATCCCATTATTTCTACTAACACAAGAGCTGCTGTGAAGATGGAATATATCGGTACACTCCTTCTGTTACCTCCCCCACAAAGTGTAAACTTTTTAAATATCTATGAAGGTCATAAATCGCGAAATTAAGATCTGATTCCAATCAGACTTACTTCACCTCAATATTTCCATCAACACAAGATCTGTTAAAAAGATGGAAGAGTTCGGACTATTTCTTCTGGTACCTACCCCACAAAGGGTCAAAATTTTGGATAACCAAAACGAACATAAAATCCGAAATAATGATCCGGTTCTCTTCAAATTACACACATCCCATTATTTCTACTAACACAAGATCTGCTGTGAGGATGGGATGTATCGGGGTGCACTCCTTCTGGTACCTCCTCCACCAAGGGTCAAAATTTTGAATATACATGATCCAAAATTAACATTCGATTCCATTCAGCCTTGGTACATATAAATATATCCATAAACACAAGATCTGTTAAAAAATTAGTAGAGATCGGACCATTCCCTCTGGTACCTCCGCCCATAGGGGTTGAAAAAAAAACACGCTCGAAAAAAGCAAAATAGGCATCCAATTCTCTTCACATTTCACACAAACAAACATTTTTGCTAACACATGATCTGTTGTGAAGAAGATCTGGTACCCTTCTGGTACCTCATCCACAAAGGGTCACAATTTTCTATTTTTTCTGGTTCCACTTGTTTGTTTTTGCCCATACCAATAATTTTATCCGTGATAGATGAAGTTTGAAAATGGAAACATCGGTCGACCATATCTGGTACCTCTAAAAACGATCACATATCTCTTATAAAGTGAAGAAAGTAATCAATATATTCCAAACCTGGCACGTCTCAATATTTGCATCATATTTATTTAGGTCCTGTTCGAAATGGACAATATTGACCCATTTCTTCGGAACCTACTGCATAGAAGTTCAACCATTTGAATAATCATAACAGAAGTCTAAATATACTTAAATAATCGAACATTGGCTGAGGGTATACATCTGTCGGCTAAGCCGACTGATACTTTTTAACTTGTTTTTAGAGTCATTGTTTTCTAAACAAACAAGCTAGAAGTTTATTTGTTTTTTCTTGCATCTATCTTACGTCGTTCTTTGGCTTATGTTTCAACACAAACACTACAAGAAAATACATATGTATTTCCAACAGAATATGTACTGGTGTGTTGTTATTCAAAAAGAATGTTTCGAACGTACTACCACAAGACAGACTCTAAATAATAATCGTATAAAAAGAAAACTTCCTGGTTTAACGAAAAATTTCTGGGGCTCCCCATTTCTTTTGAAATGGATTTTCACATAGCACAGTTATTGTATTGGAATTAAAATCAATTTCTCTAGAATTTGGTTAGGCAACCAGACGGACAGACAGTAAGACATGCATTCGGACAATGAGGCTCTCTCGATAATTGAATTAGGAAAAATACAATAACAACAAAGAAGTAAGAATCAACAATATAATTATATATATACACATGTATGTAGGGTTTGTAGCTTGCTAGCTAGCTATGGGTTGTGACCAAAAGCCAAAGCAAGTGAAAGCTGTGACGAAATGAGCTGATTGAAAACAGTTTTAGAAATGTTTTCAAGACCGGCTCTGAGCACCTGGTTAACTAAAGCGTTGTGGGGAGGAGAATAGTGTAAACATGTATGACGAAGGTCAATACAAAGCAGAGATAGGATAGAATAGATGTAGGCTAGACCACAACGTGAGAGCCATAACAAGCCAATGCAGCAAAAAATTACTTCTACTTTTTATTGCAGTTCAAAAATCGAACGAAAAACAATTGAATTATCATTTTTTGCTTGTCTGCTCATTGTATAGCAATTATAATGCCTCGCGGTCGTGTTGGAAAAGGCAATTATACAATTATCATGAGCCATATGCAAAATATATAAAAAAAAAACATCAACAATAAAATTGCAAAAAGATGACAATGGAGGAGATGAAGAAATGTATGACAGAGAATTATTATCTTTAAGTGTGGCACTTGCTTTTGTATTGATAATATTGTAAAAGGCATATGTTCGAATCTTGAGGGAGATAATAATGCCATAGTACTTTTTCAAAAATAAGTTCTTGTGCCCAGTTTTTCTAGAGAACATATAGTTAAAAAAGGAAAAAACAAGTCGGTTTTGCCGAGAGATTTATACCCTCAGCGATTATTTAAAAATATTTTTAATTTCTGTTATGATTATTCAAATGTTTAACTCCTTATGGAGTATGTTCCGAAGGAATGTGCCAATATTGTCCATTTCGTATTGGACCTAAATAAATATAACATAAATATTGTGACGTGCCAAACCTGGACTATATTGGTAACTTCCTTCACTTTGCATGACATACATGATAATTTTTAGAAAATTGCGTGAGGTACCAGTTATAGTGGAACGGAGTATTCCATTTTCATTCCCCATCTAATTCATATAAAAATATTGGTATCGGTAACATTACAAGAAAATCGAACATTTATATCCAATTTTATGCGAAATCATAAATTCCATATTCACCTCAGGTTGCTGGATGAGAGAAATATGTAGATATAGCAGTTTGTATAAAATCACTGACTTGTTTCTCAAGTCATGACAGATAAAAGTGTAGAAAATTGTGACCCTTTGTGGACGAGGTACCAGAAGGATACCAGATCTTCTTCACAACAGATCTTGTGTTAGCAAAAATACTTGTATGTGTGAATTTGCTATTTCGCTTTTTTCGAACGTTTTTTTTTTTTTTAAATCTTGAACCCTATGTGGGGCAGGTAGTAAAAGGAATGGACCGATCTCTACCATCTTTATAACAGATCTTGTGTTGATGGAAATATTGAGATGTACCAAGTCTTGAATGAAATCAGATGTTAATTTCGCTTTTTATGAGCTTCACTGATATTCAAAATTGTTAGCCTTGGTGGGGGAGGTACCAGAAATAGTAAACCGATATATCTCATCTTCACAACAGAACTTTTGTTAGTGGAAATAATTTGATGTGTGAAATATGAAGAGAACCTGATGCTTTTTTAAAATTTTATAAACGTTTTGGTTATTCAAAAATTTGACCCTTTGTGGGGGAGGTACCAAAAGGACTGGTCCGATCTCTACCATCTTTATAACAATTCTTGTGTTGATGGAAATATTGAGATGTGCCGAGTCTGAATGGAATCGGAAGTTGATTTCGTGTTCTATGAGCTTCATGAATATGAAAAATTTTAACCCTTTGTGGGGGAGGTACTAGAAGGAGTCGACCGATATATTCCATCCTCACATCAGACCTTTGGTCAATAAAAAACATTGTAATGTGTGTAATTTGAAGGCAATAGGACTGTTACATCACATTTTATACGAGTTATAATTATTCAAAATTTTGACCCTTTGTGGGGGAGGCACTTGATGGAGTGGACCGATATTGTCCGTTTTCACACCTGACCTAGCGCTGATGCAAATATTAGGATCTGCAAAGTTGGAGCAAAATCGGATTATCGTTTCTCTCTCTGCGCAAAAAATATTTTTTGAAAATTTCGGCTTTTTGTGGGGGAGGTACTAAAAGAAGTGGACCGATGTATTCCATATTCACACTAGACCTTTGGTCAATAAAAATATTGGGATGTGTGTAATTTGAAGACAATAGGACACTTACATCACATTTTATACGAGTTATAATTATTCAAAATGTTGACTGTTTGTGGGGGAGGTACTGGATGGAGTGGACCGATATTGTCCATTTTCGCACCTGACGTAGCACTGACGCAAATATTAAGATTTGCAAAGTTTGAGTAAAATCGGATTATCGTTTCTCTTTCTGTGCAGAAAATATATTTTTTGAAAATTTCGATCTTTTGTGGGGGACCCTTTGTGGGGAGGTACTGGATGGAGTGGACCGATATTGTCCACTTTCGCACCTGACCTAGCACTTATGCAAATATTAGAATTCGCAAAGTTGGAGCAAAATCGGATCATCGTGTCTCATTCTGTGCAGTAAATTATTTTCTTTGAAAATTTTTACATTTTGTCGGGGAGGTACCAGAAGGAGTGGACCGATATTGACCATCTCCGAACTCTATCTAAGTTTGATAGAATATTACGATGTACCAAGTTTGGACCAAATCAGATACTCCCTTCAAGAGTTATCCAGACAGACGGACGGACTGAGAAGGCTAGATCGACACCAAATGTCTTGAAACGGATTTGGTCCAAAGAGAAATAGGTTATAAAATCGATATTTCGATAAGGCACGTTTTGACCGTATCAAATTATATATACCCTCTCTAGCCATATGGCTGAGGGTATACACATTCTCTTCTTGGGGACGATAACATTATACCCTATGGACTCTAATGGAAGCGATTTGTATAGGTCCTATCTGAAATTATCAGTTCCCTGATTCAAACCCTAAACAAAAATTATATATAATTTAAAAAAAATAAATACAACTTACCTGAAAATGTTCAGAACACTCGGTACAGCCAAAGAAATGTTTAACATAACCATGTATGGCTTGCAAAACTTCCAATGGATCGTCACTTTTATCTTCGGTGGCCGCTTGAACGCTCATATAGTGGAACAATTGCCACAAAGAGCACGTGTAGCCACGCACACCAGTTTTCGATCCCTGACAGCCGACGAAACGATGTGACGAAAATACTTTTCCCAGTTGTTTTTCCAGGCGAATCAGTTCCTTTTCGAAATCACCCCCAGACATTTCGTCGCTGTGTTTTCTTGTGAATGAAGCCAATTCCTTTAGCATAGCCCTACCCGAATTACTTAGGGGATTGTATTTTTCCAAAATACCCAAAAATCTTAGTAGGGCAGTCATTTTTTCACCATTGATTTTTGAGGATTTAGGTATTTCATTATAGAGTATACCACGTATGGCCATTTCTAAATCGGCCTGATAGACCATATGTTTATTGCGTTTGACTTCTTCAATGATTTTCGATACCTCCAAGTCGGTCGTGGATGCATGAGGCATGGTGGAGGCAGTATGCCCCAAAGCATTATTCTCTGCGTGACTGGGTGGTCTCTCTGTTATGTGCTGGGACTTGAGGAAACTTTCGATTGTCTCTTTGTAGGATAATGACGACTCATGCAACGAGCCATATGGCACAATGGATCCATCTCGACTTACGGTGGCAATGCGATAACGTGTACCATCTATTTGATATTTGGCCGCCAATTCAGAGTTGGCAGTGCGTTTCACTGCAATATTGGGATATCGAACAAAGTGTAAAATCGTTTCAATGCCAACCGTGGAATTCTCGCGTTCATAAACCACAACCACGTATTTCTTTAAGCTATCCAAGCCCTCAAATAAGGCCGGAATGGATGAGGTATGTGATAGCTGCAAAGGTTTAAAATCAGGCCATGAACTCATATCGCTGGTTTTGTTTTCCGAAGCCACAAACTCGGCCAAAATGCTGCGTATTTGTTCCATGTCCTGGGTCATTATGCGGCTGCCATAATTACTTTCCGATGGTGTATAGCCTGGTCCAAAATACCGTAATGTTGGATAGGCCATTACCTCATATTCCCTGCAAATGCCATTATTCTCCTCCGCTGCACAGTCAATTGCAGCAATGGGGGCAATGTCACGCCAATCATACAACTCTGCCGCCAGTCGCTTGTAGGTCGGTGCAAACTTACGACAATGACCACAATAGCTGTTATAGAACTCCACCAATATGGAATGGTTTCGATTGAGGACTTCGTCCTTAAAATTCACATTTGTTAAAATTCGTACTTTGTCGGTGTGATTGTACAGACCCAACTCTTGAGATTCTTGTTTCATGAGAGCCTCATAACTGGAACGTGGTACTCCGGCATCGATTAGATTAAAGAATGAAAACAAAGAAATCGAAATCACCAAGACACAAGTGGTGACACTAAACAACTTGGTCGAATGCATACTTTCTAATCAGCTCTTTAGGGCTGTTTGGAAATGTTTGTTTTTTGGAAGCTTTTAAATCGTGGAATTCTGAAGAAAATTTCAATGCCTTCCAAAGAAATTTATATCACCTTTACGATATTCTCATTTTACAGGTTTCCGTGTGTTGTTTTCCCAGATTTGTTTTCTTTTTTAAGACGAGCGACGTTGCTTGCGATTTGGCACAATTATCCGTATCGAATCGACTGCGTTCGTGTGTATGTAGTTCAGTAGTGTATGAGAGACAACAGCAAACACCGCACACTTCATGTCACCAAGCGAACGGGAGAAAATTCACTGCTGCAGATAACACAAGTGTTGCCGAGTTTTTTCGCCTCTCATCCCCAAATTCAAATAATTTCCCCCACATTAAGTTGAAGATCCCCACAAAAAATCCCCAAATATTTTGGAGAAAACAAGAAAATGTATTCTTCCACACTGTAAAAACTTAAAATATATCAATTTTTTTCACTTACGAACATTTTTCCAAGGCATCACAAACAAATAAAAATTGAAACAATCGAATATTGCTGAAGAACAGACTCAATCAGGTAGGAATCGGAAAATTAACACAGAGGCTTTTCACAGATGATTGACAATAGTTGTTGTCGGGACATGTGTTGGCATTTTGACCGTTTAAAAATAACATTTTTAGCCAGATACCTTTTTGCCATGCACGAAGCCAAAATAACTATATAACTAACATGTGTTTTTTTGATGAAAACAACAAATGTGGAGATGGATAATATATTTATCGTTTAAAAGTTTCCAATCTTGTATCCTCCTAAGGGTGTATCTAACACACACAAATTTAACCCCCATATCTAACATGGCAGAAGAATACAGGTAGATGCATCAACGCTTGGGAGCATTGATATGTCAAAAATTTTTAAATGTTTTTTCAAATATAAGTAGATTTTTATATGTTTTCTTATACGAGGTCATTCGGAGGTTATAATAATTCTTGTTTTTCAACAATTTTTACAAATTTAAATAATTTTTCATTCAACATTTTCAATTCCAAAATTGGTTTGACAGTTCATTGTCCCAGCAGCTGTGTCGATGCGTCTACCTATATTCTTCTACCATGATATCTAATATACCCAGTGGGTTAATCTTCAGTAGATTGAAGATTAACCCACAATACAATCCCAAATGCCGTTGTGCATTTTTTGTTCTCATGTTGAGAAAATTGTCTGGCAACATTCATCGTGAACAAGATTACAAAGCTCCTGTTAGAAAATCGCGACGCCGTAGAAATGAGAAGAAAATGACCAACATAGGAATGGTTGATAAACATAAACATCAAGACGAAAGCAGCTGTAAGGTGCGCGGGTGTCATCCACGGGTCATTGATAGCACGTAGAGTTAAATGAATGTCGTTACATCATTTGACATGTAGATGGCACAATACTTTTTATACCCCCATCCAAATGGCTTCAGAGGGTATATTCATTTGATACCACCATGTTTGTTTCTTTGGACCAAATCCGTTTCAGGACATTTGGAGTCGATCTAGCGTCTGTCCGTCCGTCTGTCTGGTTGGTTGGCTGATGCGCACAATAACTCTCAAAGGGAGTATCCGATTTGGTCCAAACTTGGTACATCTTAATATTATTATCAAACTTAGATCGAGTTCGGAGATGAACTATATCGGTCCACTCCTTCTGGTACCTCCCTCACTAAATGTCAACATTTTCAAAAATAATAATTTACTGCACAGAAAGAGAAAGGATAATCTGATTTTGCTCCAACTTTGCAAATCGTAATATTTGCATCAGTGCTAGGTCAGGCGAAGAAATTGATAATATCGGTCCACTCCATCCAGTACTTCTCCCACAAAGGGTCAAAATTTGGAATAATTTTAACTCTTATGAAATGTGTTGTGAGAGTCCGATTGTCTTTAAATTACACACATCACAATATTAATTATTAACTTAATATTAACCCAAGGTCTGGCGTGAATCTGGAATATATCGACACACTCCTTCTGCTATCATTTCTTCTGATACCTCCACGAATAGAGTTCAAGATTTCAAAAAAAAAAAAAAAAAAAAAACGCTCAAAAAAAGCGAATAATCATAAGTCGAAATATGTTTATATAATCGAATATTGGCTGAGGGTATGAAGGGTGAGAAAAAAAAAAAACGGCAAATGCAAGCTGCCCGAATGTTGCTCTGCGGTATTTTGGCCTATTCCCAGAGAAGCGCTTGCTTGAGGTCGTCGATACTTTGGCATTTTTAGTGCCAACCTTGGCATTTTTAGTGCCAAATATTTTTGGTGGCTATTGTACGCTGGAAATGAAGCGAGGAACCTCGTGTCGTAACCATTCTTGGATGGCGCGTGCTGAGTCCTCTTGGAATGTCCAAGGTCTGCGGTCAAAATGTTTGCGTGCCCAAGGCTTTAATACACCCCCTGGCTTAGAAATGACAGCAGTCTGAAGTTGGTTGCAGTTTTTTCATCTCTCCCAGTACATCTGTCGGCTAAATCGACTTATACTTTTTAACTTGTTTTAAATATTTTTGGAGCTCAAGGCATCTCTTCTTTTAGAGTACCTCTACATGTTTTTGTATACCCTCCTTCATAGTATGGAGGGTATATTAGCTTTGTCATTCCGTTTGTAACACCTCGAAATATAAATTTTAGACCCCATAAAATTCTATGTCGAATTATCTGTCCGCCTGTGAAAATCACTCTAGCTTCCCATATAACGGTACCTCCCAATATTCGGCGTTTCGATGATTTTAGCGACATTATTCACAGGAATTGTTTCAAATTTGGTATTTTAATTTCGTAATGCATACTACAGCCTAAGACAGAAAATTGTCTGTGCAGGCCCAGGTCTTCGTATAGCTTCAATATAATGGTACCTCCCGATATTCGGCACCTTGATGATTTTAGCGACATTATTCACCGGAATTATTTCAAATTTGGTATTTGAAGTTCGCAATGGATACTACAGCCTATGACAGAAAATTGTCTGTGCAGGTCCATGTTTTGGTATAGTCCCCATATAACGGTATTCGGAATTTTGATTGATTTTCGCCATATTTTTTTACGGATTTGTCTAAAAATTGGTATTTGTAGGTCATAATAGGTTCTAGCTCCGGTGGCGAAACATCGATTTTTATAACCCCCATATAATGGTATTTTTATAACCCCCATATATTCGGTATTTTAATGATTTTAGCTACATTATTCACCGAATATTTTTTTGTTCAAGTTTCGCTTTTGAATAATGTAATGTCTAATGGCAAAAGTTGCCTATGCCGGTCCACGTCTTCGTATAGCCCCGGAACCTTCCTATATTCGGTATTTTGATGATTTTAGCGACATTATTCACCTATTGTTTTCAAGTTTCGCATTTGTAATGGCTTATGACAAATGTTGCCTATATAGGTCCACGTTGTCGTATAGCGTACATTCGGTATTTTTAAGATTTTAACAGAATTTTTAACGGACTTTATTTTTTTGAAAATTTGCCAAAATTCGTTCTAAATGGTGGAGGGTATTCAGAAGGAAACTTACAGCATTTTTATCTTATTTTTTCTAGTCCAGTGTGCCGCAAAACTGTATTCCAGTGTATTCATCACCACCCTGCACTTACGTATTACTACTTCGCCTGCCATAATTTAAAGCCTAATCTCTCAGCTACTGAGTGTTTGTTTAGCTCATGGATGGACAAACAATAACAGAGACCGGCTTTTTTTCAATTTCTTAAGTGCTGTCGGATGGATCGTTGACTTTTGCTCATTATGAGTTCTACTAATTACTCAGCTGACGTGAGCGTACGCCTAAGAGAAGAAGCCTGCCGGGCAGTAGAACAATTTGCAACTATGTACGTAGATACGACGAGGAGAGTACAGCGTAACAGACAATTGAGTTTCAATGGTAAAGCAAAACAAAACAAAACCAAAAACAGACAACAACTTTGCAAAGACAGTCTCGCTGACTTAAAATTAATTAAAAACGAAGAAAGGAAAAAAAGAGTGGCTTAAAGCTTTTATTTTGTCTCTGCCACCAGAGTTTTGACAGAAACCCCACGGAGAGTCTGGCTCAGTTGGAATATAAACACAGTCGCGAAAGGTTGGACATGGACACAATTGTCAAACGGTTCGAAGCAAAGCAAAAGTGAGCGGTTTCATAGTTTGTTTTTTTTTTTTAATTTAAAAAAAAGTCTTGAAATTAAAAAAAGAAATAGTGCTGAAGTGATAATTTGTTTAAAAAAATAAAAAACCAAACTTGAACAATTGTCAATGAATGAAAAGTTAATTGTGGGAAAACAATTAATAACAAATTTAATGCTCGGTTGCCTGGCTTTTTTGAAAAAAGAAGAAAAATCAACGTCAGCTATTTTCCGTTTTCTTTAAAGAAAAAAAAGACACGACTGACAGACAGACAGTGTGTGGTTTCGTTGTGATAAGAACCAAACCAGCCGGTCACCAAACAGCCAATAAATAGGCAACCAACAAAAACAATACAAATTGTTTTTCTTTTTCTTGTTTTGTGGCTAACCAAACAAAAAATAATAATTTTATTCTGCACCGACTTCTACATAACCAAAAAAAGGAATTCCACATCCAGCTTTGCCAAATTCGGGTAAGTCCAAAATATTTGGTAGATTAGCAGCAGCAGCAGCAAAATCCGTGACAATTCAAAAATTTATTTTTGGAACATGCCAAAAATAATAGAAAAAATACGTTAGACATTTTCGGGTGTGTGTGTGTGCGAGTTTTGAGAATGTGTGCATGTGTGTGTCGTCGTATCGCCACACCTGATTATGGCGGCCAATCAAACACCAGAAAGAAACCTTTAAATATAGGAACTGCATTTAAATGCCAATAGCTGTCAGCATTTTGCCAGTAAGTCACTCAGTCAGTTCGTTCGATTGTCTGTCCACAATTTCAATATTTTCCTGGCGCCACAAATGTTTCCTTCCCATCCGTCACCTCTCGGTTTCACTTCAAACCTAAACTGAAAACAGACAAAATCATTGTCGATCATCTGGAAGAAGAAACAAAGCTGATAATTTAGCAATTAAAATTGTTAGCCACTTTTGAGTTATGAGTTTGGCCCGGCCCGGTGTTTGACTGGTGTTTGTTGTGTGCGATCTTTTATTTTGGTTTTCTGATATTTTTAGATTGTCAGAATTGGTTTCGCTTTTCGTTTTATTTTGTACTTAATTTATTAATTAAATGTCTGTTTAATACTTGTAGTGTCTGTGCGTACATGCAAACCGGAGGCATCGAACGCACAGTTCTGATTAGTTAGTTGCATTAACCCGGATCAGTATTCATAGGAGAAAGACCAAGGCTTTCTCATAGAAGACCAGAAGGTCTCCTTATAGAAGACCAGCAGGTCTTCTCATAGAAGAGGGGAAGATCTTCTCATAGAAGACCAGGAGGTCTTCTCATAGAAGAGGGGAAGATCTTCTCATAGAAGACCAGCTGGTCTTCTCATAGAAGGCAGGAGGTCTTCTCATAGAAGGCTAGGAGGTCTTCTCAAATTAGGCAGGAGGTCTTCTCATAGAAGGCTAGGAGGTCTTCTCATAGAAGACCAGGAGGTCTTCTCATGGAAGACCAGGAGGTCTTCTCATGGAAGACCAGGAGGTCTTCTCATGGAAGACCAGGAGGTCTTCTCATAGAAGATGAGAAGACCTCCTTCTCATAAACGACGAGAAGGTCTTCCAATAGAAGACCAGAAGGTCTTCCCATAGAAGATAAGACGAGAATTTCTTCTCAAAGAAGATCAGGAGGTCTTCGTATAGAAGACGAGAAGGTCTTCGTTTAGAAGACCAGGAGGTCATCGTATAGAAGACGAGAAAGTCTTTGTATAGGAAACCAGGAGGTCTTCGTATAGAAGACCAGGAGGTCTTCTCATAAAAGACCAGGAGGTCTTCTCATAAAAGACCAGGCGGTCTTCTCATAAAAGACCAGGAGGTCTTTTCATAGAAGACCAGGAGGTCTTCTCATAGAAGACCAGGATTTCTTCTTAAAGAAGATCAGGAGGTCTTCTCATAGAAGACCAGGAGGTCTTCTCATAGTAACAGGAGGTCTTCGTATAGAAGACCAAGAGGTCTTCTCATAGAAGACCAGGAGGTCTTCTCATAGAAGACCAGGAGGTCTTCTCATAGAAGAGGAGAAAGTCTTCGTATAGAAGACCAGGAAGTCTTTGTATAGGAAACCAGGAGGTCTTCTCATAAAAGACCACGAGGTCTTCTCATAAAAGACCAGGAGGTCTTCTCATAGAAGACCAGGAGGTCTTCTCATAGAAGACCAAAAGGCCTTCTCATAGAAGACGAGCAGGTCTTCTCATAGAAGACAAGAAGTTCTCCTCATAGAAGACGAGAAGGTCTTCTCACAGAAGACGAGAAGGTCTTCTCGTATAGAAGAAGGTCTTCTCTGCGAGAAGAGAAATACAACTGTCGCCTGGATTGAGGATAATTCCAGAGATTTTATCCCTCTCTCTCTCTCTGAATAAAAAAAATGTTGATCCTCATCTTCAGAGGCGGTTTAATGCCAAGTACAAAATACTTGCCATTTGCCGCCTTATGACGTAGCCGCTGATGCTTCTTCAAAACTTGGAGCAAGTTTGTTGTTCGGTTATCGCACATTAAAGTAATTGAAAACTATGAAATAAAAAAAGAAGATGAACAAAATAAAAACATGAACAATGTGTGTTCTGATGAAACAATAAAACATTGAAAACATGACGGAGAAGACATGTCTCAATTAATAAATTAAATGATTACAATTTTTGTCAAGCGACAGCCGCTCCTCTTCACCCCACTTTTAAAATTAATGGCGCTCGCAATGAGGTACTCAATAGGGTTTATTACGAACAGCAATGAATATTATTGGAATTAATAAAATATAAATTATCAATATTGTCATGTAAGATTTGAGTTTGAGATTAACAACAACATGGGAAGTTGGTTCGACGCGAATCCGCTACAAAGTATTTTATTGATGTCAACCCCATGACGACTGGGGTTAAAGATTTGTTGACAGTCAACCACTGAGCTACCACTTGACAAATTTAGTTATGCACATGGAAATTATCAGCAAATACGTTGTGCAATGTACCTTAGCAAGTATTGGGATCCTCCTAGGGGATTGATTTCGAAAGAAGGCAAGTGTTTTAGAATGAATTCAAACTTGCAAAGATCTTTTGCGATTTATGTGTTGTATTTTTCAATATCGAACTTATCAACACTTGACACATATAATTGAATCCTAGTATTGAAAATTAGTTGTTTTAACTGGCTTAATTTGTATAAAAGGCCATGGTAACCATGCAAATTTGCACCATTTTGTGCAAACAAATAGGATACACCAGGTACGAAAAAGACCCAATCGCGTTGCCATCGTCACAAATTGTTTCATGATTCGAGGGAATAGAATTTCGCACAGATGATATAGGATACAATTTGTATGGCTATTTGGCTACAGAGGGTACGGCCAAAACATGTCTCATCGAAATAATGGTTTTAGACCCTAGGTCTCTTTAGACCAAATCCGTTTCAGGACATTTGGACATTCGATCTAGCGATGTCCGTCCGTCTGTTTGTCTGGCTGCCTGGTGCGCACGATAACTCTCGAAGGGAGTATCCGATTTGATCCAATCTTGGTACATCTTAATATTATTGTCAAACTTAGATCGAGTTCGGAGTTGGGCAATATCGGTTCACTCCTTCTGGGACCTCCCACACAAAATGTCAACATTTTCAAAGAATATAATTTGCTGCACAGAATGAGAAACGATAATCCGATTTTGCTCAAAATTTGTTTATCCTTATATTAGCATCAGTAATAGGTCAGGTGCGAAAATGGACACTCCATCTGGTGCCTCACCCACAAAGGGTCAACATTTGGAATAGTTATAACTCTTATAAAAATGTTCGATCGTTTTCAAATTACACACATCACAATATTTTTATTAACCCAAGGCCTGGTGTGAATATGGAATACATCGGTCCCCTCCTTTTGGTGGGTACTTCCCCCATAAGGGTCAACATTTTGACAATCCATTAAGCTCATAAAACGCGAAAAAAATGTCCGATTCCATTCAGACTTGACACATCTCAATATTTCTAGCAAAACAATATCTGTTATAAAGATGGTAGAGATCGGACCATGCCTTCTGGTACCTCCCCCACAAAGCTTAAAGGTTTGAATAAAATCCATATTAAGCTCCGGGTTCTCTTCAAATTAGACACATCACAATATTTTTATTAACCCAAGGCCTGGTGTGAAGATGGAATATATCGGTACACTCGTTCTGGTAATTCTCCCCACTAAGGGTCAAAATTTTGAGCAAAGATGAAGACCATAAAATGTGAAAATAATTCCATTCAGACTTGGTACATCTCAATATTTACATCGACACAAGATATGTTATAAATATGGTAGAGATCGGACCATTACTTCTGGTACCTCCCTCACAAAGGGTCAAAATTTTGAATAACCAAAAATATCATAAAATCCGAAATAAGCATTCGGTTCTCTTCATAATTCACACATGCCATTATTTCACACAAGATCTCCAGTGAAAATGGTATTTACCGGTCCTCTCCTTCTGGTACCTCCTCCACAAGGGTCAACATTTTGGATATCCATGAAGATCATAAAACAAGCAATTAACATCCGATTTCATCCAGACTTGGTGCTTCTTAATATTTATTATAAAGATGGTAGAGATTGGACCACTCCTTCTGGCACATCCATCACATAGGGTTCAAGTTAAAAAAAATTCAAAGAAAGCGAAATAGGCATCCAACTTTCTTCAAATTTCACAGATCCAAATATTTTTGCAAACGCAGGGTCTGTTGTGAAGATTATATATATCTGCGAACCCTTCTGGTATCTCATCCACAAAGGTTCACAATTTCCAACTAACTTGCGAAATAAGTCGGCGATTCTTTACAAATTGCTATATCTAAATATTGCTCTCAACCAAAAACCTGAGATAAATATGGAATTTATGATTTCGCATAAAATTGGATATAAATTTTCGATTTCCTTCAAATTTTGCCCATAATATATAGTTCGATTGCCATCTTAAAATCAAAAATTTCAAATGCATCTATCTATTTGTCGAACTCATTCAGCGTTTTCTTTGGAGTAAATAAAATCGCCAACGCTTCACATTCTCTCCGGGACAGTCCGCCGTTGCCGTTGTGTGACACTTTGCACAATTGCGTAAAAATGTTTAATGAAATTAATTAATGACAACAGCGTCTGGTCTGATTGTTTTATTTACGAGAAAGTTTTAAATGTCCATGAACCCGCTGCTGCTGTGTATGACTTCTTAGCAATTCTCATTGGTTTAGAGTACTTTCAGCATGAAGACAAGGTTTGAACGGATGTTGGTGTGATTTATTATGCTGTTGTTGTTATTGTAGCAAAGAATTTACAAAAATTGGGTTTTATTGTGGAGGTTATCTCCCAGGGAAATCTGGAGAAGCATAGTTAAAAAGCCGTAAGGGAGAAAACATATAAAACGCTTATTTGACTTGCTTAAGTCATCGCTGGCTTCTTTGGAAAAGAACAAAGGAGCGTAGGACCAAAATCGAACTTAGTCATCCTAAAACCCCTATG